CGCTGCTCGCGGCCGAGCTGCTGCTGCGCGTGCGCACTGGCGACCTGGGCCGCGGGAGCGTCGGGCGCGTGGGAGCGAGGGGAGCGGCCGGGCGAGGCGGAACCGAGGGCGGTTCTCGGTCCCAGGCTCCGTGACGCTGCGCCGAGGTCGTTTTTCTTTATTCCTTTCTCGTCTCTCAGGGAGTGAAGTTACTAGTATAAGCCGTTCTTCGCTTGCTTTATGGACCCTTGTAGGAAAAATTGGATACTGTAACGGAAAAGATTTGATAATCCAAGCAGCGTTTGCTGGGTGAGACAGCGTGACACTTTCATTTCTCAGCTACAGTAGACTTTGGCTACAGCCCATAATCCTCCTTGCATCATTTTTTGTTTTTCTCCCTCTAGTGTGATTGTCAACCTGAACTGCACGTTAAAATCACTTGGAGAGCTTTTTAAAAAATCCCTGGAACGTGGCCACAACCCACACCAGTTCAGTCAGGCTCTGGGGCTGATGACCGGCCTGTTCTACAAAGAATTTTTCCCAGCAGTCATCAACATAATATCAAATGCCCCACCTTAAAGGACCTAAACCTTCCTTAACCCCACATCCTCCTCCACATTTTTGCTCCTTTAAAAGTTTTCTATATATTGTTCCACTTTCTCATCTTTTTTGAGCCCATTTCCCTCTTGTTGAAATCATTGAGGACCTCTACTTACAAAATCCTATGGGTAATTCCAGCTCTCATCATACTAGACCTCTTGGCATCCTTGGCCACTGCTGACCATTCCCTCTTCTCAGCAATAGTCCACCCTCCAGCCTCTCTGGATGCTGTTTCTCCTTCACAGTGAGCCTCCTGTTCCAGGCCACTCAGTGGGTTCTGTTCTTGGCCCTCTTCTCTAGCTGGCAATCTCCAAGTGTCCTTATGTAAAAAAATTAACTATACCTCCAAGACTACCCTCTATGATTATATTTTACCACTTTGTCTTGGCAAAATTACCAATAGTGCGCCCCTTTGACATCAAAAATGTCCCATTTGTTACTTTTGCTATAAAAGACATTACTATGACAGTTGGTGAAATCTAAGTAATGCCTGTAAATTACATAATAGTTTTGGAAGTCATGCTAATTTCCTCACATACCCACAGCAGAATTATCAAAATTAGTTGATCTATGGTAGGGCTCTATAACTTACATATTAACATGTTTCCCAGTGATGCAGTTGCTGCTGGGCCTGAAACTGTACTTTGAGAACCACTGATGTAAGAGAATGTCTTTTTTTATAGGAAACAACCCACTAAAGTATCTAGGAGTCTAGGAGTATCATGTTTGTAACTCACTCTCAAACAGTAAAGATATTTTTAAAAACGCATCCATAGATAGATAGATAGAAAAGCATAAAGCAATTGTAGTAAAAAGTTAACATTTGTGGAATCTGAGTGAAAGGTATATGCAAATTCTATCTATTATTGCAAATTTTCTGTTAAGTCTGAAATTGTCAAAAAATTAAAAAGAAAAATATGTACTGGTTTAGATAATAAATAATATGGTCACCTTTCATTAAGTCTGAGGCTTTATCATCTACAGAGCGATGACTTGCCAGTATTTATCATCTAACCTACCTCTCCCCTTAATTCCAGATTGGTCTATGGTATATATTACTGCCCACTCACCACCTCCATTTAGATGTCTATTAAGCACTTCAAATTACTTTTACGTTCAATTGTTTGTTTCACAGTAAGCAATCAAACAAAAAGCTGCCTCCTGCAGAATTCCATGTCTACTATAATACGATTCATTGAATTGCTCAAGCCAAAAGCCTGGAAATCATCCGTAACAATTCTATGATTTCAGCATATTTCATGAATCTAGTCACTTCTCACCTCTACTCCACCATCCTAATCCAAGCTACTATCATATAGATGACCATGTCTTAATCTCAGGAGCCTATGAGTATTTTTTACTTTACAGGGTAAAGGGGATTTGCTGGTGTAATTATGTTAAGGATCTTGAGGTTGCAGAGATTCCTAGATTTTCCAGGTGGGGCCAATATAATCACAGGGGCCCTTATAAGTGAAAAAGGTACACAGGATAGTGAGAATCAGAGAAGGAGATATGATCATGGAAGCAGGGGTGAGAGTCTAAGATTGAAGGTGCTGTACTATTGGCTTTGAAGATGGAAAAGGCCATAAGCATATGGGATTCTGGAAGTCAGAAGTCCAAATTGGATTTCACTGAGCTAAAATTATGGTGTCAGCAGGGCTGCATTCTTCCCAGAGGCTCTAGGGGAAAAAGATGTCCTTACCATGTCCAGCTTCTAGAGGCTACCTGCATTCCTTGGCTTGTGGCCCCTTCCTTGATCTTCAAAGGCAGAAGCAAAGCATCTTCAAACCTCTCCCTAACTCTGCTTCCTTCTTTTATTTATAAGGATCCTTGTGATTACCTTGGGCCCATCAGGCAATCCAGGATAATCATCTCATCTCAAAATCCTTAATCACATCTGCAAAGTCCCTTTTGTCAGGTGTAAGGAACATATCAGAAGTACCTAGGATTTTGTAGGCCACATAGCTCCATGGACTTATATGAATTATGAACATGTTGGAATTTCCTGTTCAGTTCTTGGCCCCACACTTTGAGATGCCAACAAACAAGGACATATTCCCAGAACAATCAGAATAGTCACCCCATTTGCGGAAAAGCTGAAGGAGCCACAGAGATTTATCTAAGGGAAGAGAAGCTTCAGGACTGAACTGATTTGGGCACTATGGGAACTGTATTTTCAAACATTGGCTCATGAGGGGTTTTCGTCAACTGAATTCAGGACCCCAGTTAGCCAGAAATTATAACAAATTACAAACTTTCAGAAAATTGGGCTATGATCCTAAACTGGAAATGAAAATAAACATCTTTTAATCATTCATTAGCAATCAGAAGACTCTACAAGATCATCTAATTTATTGTTTCCTGGATAAAAGGAAGTACCCAGTATATTTGGCTTAATTGCTTGATTATGTTAAGCACTCTTCTGCAAATTAATGCATTTTAATCAAAAATCAAAGTTGACTCAAAATTATCATGGAGATGTAAAGTATGGAATAGGGAATATAGTCAATAATATTGTAATAACTGTGTTTGGTGCCACATGGGTACTAGACATATCGGGGAGATCACTTGGTAAATTATGTTAAGTGTCTAACCACTACTCTGTACAACTATATAATGTACGCTGTACATTAATATAAAATAATATTGAGTGTCAACTGTAATTGACAAATTTTTAATTAAAAGAAAAGCGAAGTCAACAATTGCCTTGCTATTTTCATGGTAACTCTCAAATGAGGTAAATTAAAGAGAAGGAAAAGGGTCTTGGAGGTCCATTGTCCAAAATCTTTTCATTTCTAATAAAAAGTCAGTTTTACCTAGAAGTTAACCTAACCTGAAAGGCGGTGAGGGATACAGAAGGCAAACAACGATTATGCAATGAGAGAAAGGTTGAGATTTTTCCTGATGCTTGCAAGATAAGTTAAAATGTAATAAAAAGAAATGCTTTATGATTGTTTATCATCGTGATGCTAGTAATAAATTGTTTCTGACCTCTTGACTAGCAAAACCAAGGAGTAAGGCAAGTTCAGCAAGCTGGATGTGTAAAGGGTAAAACCAGGCTTTCAGGTCAGGCATAGGGATTTATATCCCAGACCTCCAGCTACTAGCTCTGTGGTCCTAAGCAGGTAACTCAGCCTCACCTTCTGGGGAAACTGAATGAGAGAATGTACGCACAGCACCTTGGGGAGTCATTGTTCCAATCAACGTCTGTCCGCTACAGTTGTTATGGCTTGGCTCTTATTTATGCACCTTTGCAAGAAGACTTTTCCAGTCGCAACTGGAAAACGTTAAAGGATTCTTTAATAAATAAGCTCAACCCGGAAACAGGAGGCAATGGACGGTGTGGTATGTTGGTACCGAAGCCATCTATCAAATGTCAATCCACTCCCCGCCACCAGAGGGTGGCAGCAGACAAAACCGGAAGTGACTCTGCCCCTGACTAACATGGCGTCCAGGTGATTTCCGCACTCCTCTCAACAGTAATTGGCCTCGGGGACTTCTCGCGGTTTTACCAGACTGCGCCGGTTCAGCAAACTCCACTCTCCAGTCCCTCCCCCCAGGGGGCGGGGCTACGAAGAGATGCTGCGTGGTGATTGGTTGAGGCGCGTTAGGACCGTGGTCACGGAAGTTGTCCTGCGCACGCCAGGCCGTGATTGGTCGCCGAGAGGCTGGGCAACTCGACCGCTGGAGAGCTAGGCGCCGTTGTGAGGAGAGACATGAGTCAGGCGGCCAAGGTGACAAGGGCAGGGGAGGTGTTGGGTGCGATGCCGACCAGGGGGTTAAGAGCGCGGCCTGACGAAGGTTGTTTGGAGTCCTGTAACCCCATGGGGTTCAGGCACTTCACGGAGGATGTGGCCGGTGCCCCTGAGGATTCGGGTGACCAACTCCGAAGGGTGGTCGAGGGGTTGTGCAGGTGCGGAGGAGGAAGGGAGGCACCGGTGGCTCCTAGTTCCTAGGCTACCGGGTACCGAGTGTGTTCAGTGATGCGAGACTTGAGCTCTGCCCGCCTTTCGTCTCCCCACCGAGTGTTTGTCTGAGGGACCCATTTCCCATCTTTGGGAAGTGTGCGAGACGGTAGAGGCAGCCCTGCGCTCCAACCAACCGATGAGGTGAAAGGTGTAGTCATACAACAGGAAGGCACACAGAAGTCTAGGAACCAAGGAAACGGAGTCCCGGCACATTCACTGACCACAGGTAACACTCAGCGACACAACACGGAGACCCAGGTGCTCCGAATGAGCTCGGGAAGCGATGGCCCTGCGGGGTCACATCCCTGAGGACGTGGTCTCCGGTTCATTTCTCGTCAGACTGATGCACGTTCCTGGCCGGTGCACAATTTCAGCGACGAGCCATCTCTAACGTTCAGTATCAGCATGGCAGGTTGAGACTTGTGCCTGTCCCTGGCTGAAACACAGGCATGGAAAGGGGAAAAGGGCCTGCTACAATATAGTGAGGAAAAGCAGCGCTTATGGTCAATAATAGGGAGCCACCAAGCAATGCCTCACGTACTACTGAACTTGGTGTTCTTAGTAAGGTTTAATATATGGCACAGCACCAATAGAAACAACTAGGGTTATTCATTCAAAAAATTTATTGAGTCTCCATAGTAGCTATTAGTAATACCTGAGAGCCAATATTTAGCCTGTGCTGTGTAGGCATAGTGGTGCAACAATAAACAGACCACCTTCTTCATACAGAATTCCAGCAGGTTGGAGATTTTTAACAATTACTTAATTAGAATTATTTTAAGTGCTTTGTGTTGAAAATACAGTGTGTTTTGTGTGCATATAATTGGGATTTAACCTGTCTGGAGGGATTTAAAAAAAAAAACCTCATAGAAGTTTAAGTTAGGTTGAGAACTGAAGTTTGATTAGAAATTAGCTAGGAGAAGAGAAGAGACCATTCCTGAAAGAGAAAGCATATGGAAAGTCCTTGAAATGGGAAGTTGCTTGGAAAACTTGAGTACAAATGAAAGGATTCATCCCAAAAACACGTTTAGCCAGGCCTATTATGTACAGAAGACACCTATGCTGAGTATGGAGGATACAGAGGTAACCGAGAAGCCTTTGAGGAAGTAAGGCACAACCAGGAAGCAATTAGCACAGTGTAGTAAATGTCCAATGCTGGGGATGTACTCAAGAGGGGCATATAACCCAGACTTAGAAGGAATAGGTAAGTAATGACTACAGTGAAACCTAGTACACCATTAAAATTACCTCATTATTTAAAAAAAAACAGGCAAAAAGTCTGAGTAACTTGTCCAAGTTTACGGTAAGTGGCAATGTCAGATTCAAACTGATCTGACTGAAGACTACATTTTCTATATCCACTGCCTAAATTTGTCCAATCAGTGTAAATAAATGGGAAAGAGAAGACAAACTGTGACTGAGCTTTCTGTTTTTTAATAAAAGCTTATTAACTCCCACGTGATAATTAGCCCTGATAGCTCTAAGGCAGTAATGATGACCTTAACTTGATTACATCTGTAAAGACCCTACTTCCAAATAAGGTCACATTTGCAGGTACTAAGGATTAGGACTTCAACACCTTGGGGAGACACAGTTCAAACCATAATAATATGGTTATACCACATTTTATTTACCCATTTATGAGTTGATGAATATTTGGGTTTTTTCTACTTTTTGACACTTACGAATACTACTATGGATGTTCATGTATAAGTTTTTGTGTGAATACATGTTTTCATTTTTCCTGGTTATATACCTAGGCATGGAATTATTGAGTCATATGATAATTCTATGTATAACTTTTGAGCAACTGCCAAACTTTTTCAAAGAAGCACCATTTTACATTCCCACCAGGAATGTATAAATTCCAATGTTTCCACATCCTTGCCAACATTTGTTTTTGACTATCTTTTTTTTTATTGTAGTCCTTCTCGTTGAGTGAAGTAGTATCACTGAGATTTAAATTTGTATTTCCCAAATGACAAATTATGTTGAACATCTTTTTAGGGCCTTAATAGCCATTTGTCTTCTTTGGAGAAACATTTATTCCAATACTTATTTAAAAAAATTTATTGAGTTGTAAAAATTTTTTTTATATGTTCTAGGTAACTAGCCCCTTATCAGATATATGATTTGCAAATATTTTCTCCCATTCTGTGGGATGTCTTTTCTCTTTTTTGATAGTGTCCTTTTCCTTTCTCTTTAAAATAAAATTTTTAGTTTTTATCAAGGTGATAAATGTGTAAAGATTAAGAAATAGTTCGCCAGCCCTGGCCAGTGTGTCTCAGTGGTTAGAGCGTCAGCCCGAGCACTAAAGAGTCATGGGTTCAATTCCTGGTCAAGGGCACGTACCTGGGTTGCAGGTTCTGAGCAGTATGCCTGAGAGCCTTCTGCAGGGGTATCATTCACAGTTAGGACTGACACAGGTGAACCCATGACTCATGGAACAGAGGTCATCCTGCATATGAAAGAAGACCAGGCCAAGTACTTGGGGGAGAGAAAGATAAAGGATATGTGAAAAAACACTCTCAATCTATTGGCTACCCCATTACTCTTTGTGGAGAAGGAATATGATAAAGAAGTCAGTGATGATGAGGCCAAAGGGAAGGAAGAAAAATAAAAATAAAAGGAGTCTAATGACAAACTGAAATTGAAGATGTTGGTTGTAAATAAAGCTAGTTTTTCTTTTCTAGTTTCATGTTAGCTTTTTTTTTTTTTAACCACAATTATTTTGTCATTAAGACAGTGGTTACAAAAAAAATATATATATATATATATATATATTTTTTTTTTTTTTTT